TATCTATCTATCTATCTATCTATCTATCTATCTATCTATCTATCTATCTATCTATCTATCTATCTATCTATCTATCTATCTATCTATCTATTCAGCTGCCCAATTTTTTTTCTCTAACAATTTCCGATAGTACGTACGTACTCGTACATACGTACACAGCAATCTCGGCAAATTGCAATGGACCATACAATACGGACGCAGTTGCTCGTACGACCAAATCTCGTATGCTATGGTTCTCTTACGGTCGTTCTTGTCGAAAATTCGTGGCACAGTACCAGAGTGAAATTCAACGATAACAGAGAGACTGCATCCTAGTTCACTTTGTATATATGTATATACATATATATATATACAAAATATATATATATATAGTCAAAAAAGTATATATATATATATATATATACTTTTTTGAATTATCAACTTAAAGAATTAGTATACTAAAGCTTAAATTCGAACAAATATATTTATCTTATTTTATCATTGACATTAGAGAAGTATCGCGACTTATTACTTTTACTTTTAAAAGATCATATGATTTCGGTAATCATATATATATATATATATATATATATATATATATATATATATAAAGAAAAAAAAAAAAATAGAAAATATTTTATATATCCCATTATTAAAGGAGACTTTATTTTAAATGTATTTATAAAAATAATTTATCGAGATTGTTCGTAAACTTGAAAATAGAATTGTTATTATTAGTTCGATTGTATTCAATCGTTTTGCTTTATACATTGAACATAAGTTTATCGATCATTAAGATCAAGCATTTAAGATAATTGTAGATTGTTGCTTATCTTCAGGCGCGAAAACCGGCTTAATGTTCTATCGTCTTCCGTAGAGAATTATCGAGTTAGTTAGCCGAAGTTATTCTACCAGACTAGTCGGCAGTAGTGCATCCTTGCAAGTTTACGTTCACCAAAGAGATATATTGTCCGTTAGATCGACGATGTGATAACTGAATATGGGGGTCTTCTTCGTTTACTTAAACATTTCTTCGTTCATTCGTATATTTAAATATTACATTAAATTTATTGCCTTTTAAAATAATAATAATATTATCTAATAAATTTTGATTTGTAGAACAATATATATATATATATATATATATATATATATATATATATAAAAGTGAATCATCTGATGAGAAAAAAAAATAATGATAATAATTTAATATGCACGAAATAAATTAATCCTTGCAAAATTTTAAATAAATATGATTATAATTATTTCATTAAGATTAACGAACAAAAAAGAAAAGAAAAAAAAAAATAGAAAGTAAATATACCAAATGGGATATAAACGACGAAAAATAAAAAAGAAGAGAAAAAAGAAAAAAGCAAAAGGAAAAGAAAAGCACACACGATTTCCTTAGTCTCATCAGTCGTGTGATAATAATTAGAGAAAGAAATGTTTAATTAATTAAATGCCGCAAAAATGTAAGCTTTTTAATTCGTGTTCGTCCCTTGTACAATATAACTTGTAAGTGTATCCTTTTCATACTAGTCGACAAAGTTAATGCTACCGCCTACCACATATTCTTTGTTCCTTTTAATTTCTTAAAAGCCATGAAATGAGAAATGAGAAAACGGTAGAATGCCTGGAGGCGTTCGTAGACTTTCTTTAAACTTAATTTTCCTTTCGTTAAATCGCTTTGTCAAATGCAACGATTAATCTCAAAGAAACAGTTTCGATTCGTTCGCTATTTCCTTTTGTTTTCTTTATCTTTTTCTTTATCTTTTTCTCTATCTTTTTTTCTTTTATTTTTACTTATTTATTTATTTATCTCGTCCAAAGGGAATTGGTGGCAACTCTGAATAAACAATTTTCAAATGTACCAATATATTTGTATAATAATAATAATAATAACAATAATAATAATAATAATAATAATAATAACAATTATAATTATTAATATTATTATATCGATGTTTTAGTAATAATAATTACAACAGAAATTGCAAAGTCTTCTTCGTTACTTTGATAAACGTTTGAATGGACAACGTAATGAGAAAATTTTCGCATGACTTATCTCCTTGAAAATTGTTCTTAACAATGTCATATATAAAGTATATAAAGTATGGAGATATTTGATAACGTTTAATCATTATTTTATACGAAAAGTAATAATTAATAATTAATAATTAATAACCAACCAATTTTCATTAAGAATTTGAAACGTTGAATTAAAGAAACAATCTCTAATTTATAAAAGAAAACAGAGTGCGTATTAGAAATTTTAAGCGTTTCTTTTGGGGTATACTTGAGTGAAAGGAATAGAAAGGAGGAAAGAAAAAAAAGAAAAAAAAGAGAAATAAAAAAGAAAGAGAAAAGAGATATAACTGATAATGAAAGACAGACGGAGAGACAGAAAGATAGAGAGAAAGAGAGAGATAGAGAGAGAGAGAGAGTATCCAAAGGTATTATCGACTCGATTACGTAGAGAAGGCTACGAAGTAGACAATTTCTACTTTGGATCGACGAGAAGTACCCTGGTTTTCTTCTTTGACGCAAAAGGGCAATAGAGACTGGGCAACGTTCGACGTTCGATTTGGAAAATCCCTACGAGACCGGAATCCAGCCGAAGTACTTCTATTCGGAAGTGCACTTTGAAGGAGTTTCCAAGTCAGTTTATACATAGATATGGATCGAATATACATATATATATATTTATATATATATATATTTATATATATGTATGTCTATATATATATATATATATATATATTTATATATATACGTATGTGTATATACGTATATATATATATATAGATGTGTTATATATAAAGTTTGCGAAAGTTTAGGCTACCTGACTACTCCAGAGATTGTGAGAGTTAGAGCGAGAAGGTTAGAGAAGAATAGGAACGACGAAACGGTGGCCGTTCGAGTTTGAATTTACATTTAATAATTGCATTCGATTAATATTCATTGGAATGCAAAGCGATTCTGTAAAACGGCAAATCCACCTTCCTATATATATATACTATATATATATACTATATATATATATTTTTTTTTATTTCTCTTTCTTTTTCTCTTTTTCATTCTCTTTATCTTTTTTCTCTTCATTCTTTATATATTTTACTTCGACGTCCGGCAATACCACAAGGAAAATGGAAATTTTCTAAACGTTTTGCAAAGTCTTAAACGATCAAGAGAGAACGATTCAGTCTCTTGAATCACCTAGTGGCAAAGAAATAAAATTCCGTTTCTCTCTCTCTCTCTCTCTCTCTCTCATTCTCTCTCTCTCTCATTCTCTCTCTCTCTCTCTCTCATTCTCTTTCTCTTTCTTTGAGAGAATTCTAATGAAATTCGTCTTCGAGCTGGAAGTTCTCGACGGGACCACTAAATTTATTTACCCGAGTAAAGATCGAGAGTGAACGGTCTGCCTCGATCT